CGACACTATGGGGAACGAATGCCCACTGCGCCACTCTGAGAGAAACGCCCTGGTATGAAATCTGGCATACTCAAGACGAGAGAACTTGAGATCCCGGTGTAGAGGGCAGATCCAGACTGTAATGTTTTATGAAGGTGTGAGGGGAGGCCCAGCCTGCGGCATCACAGACCTCTTGAAGAGAAACTCCTGACAGTAGAGCCTTAGAGGAAGCCACTCCTCTAGTCGAGTGGGCTTTCACCAGAAGAGGCGAAGGCAAACCGCGCGCCTCGTAAGCTGAAGATATAGCCTCTACTAACCATCTACTGATAGTTTGTTTAGAAACAGGAGAACCCTTTTTAATTGACCCAAAGCACACAAGAAGTTGGTCTGACTTTCTCCAGCCCAGGGTCCTCTGAGTATAGACCTCCAGGGCTCGGACCGGGCACAATAAATGTTGCTTAGCTTGCTCATCCGACACATGCGGTGGAGGATGAAACGCCTGAAGAATTATAGACCGTGCCACATTTGTCGGCACTTTAGGCACATAGCCAGGTCTAGGGTGGAGAATGGCCTTTACCCGGCCAGGAGCGAACTCGAGACACGAGGGAGCAACCGATAAAGCCTGCAGGTCCCCAACTCTCTTGAGGGACGTAATTGCCAGCAAGAAGGCCACCTTAAAGGACATAAATTTCTCAGACACCTCATCCAAGGGCTCGAAAGGGGCCAAGGATAACCCTTCGAGGACCACTGTCAAGTCCCAAGAGGGAACTCTGGACTGGACGACAGGCCTCATCCTCCTAGCTCCACGAAGGAAACGAACAATAAGTGGGTGTCTCCCCAAGGTGCCCACCCCTAGAGGCGTGTGGAAGGCAGCTATGGCCGCCACATAGACCTTAAGCGTGGACGGGGAGAGCCCGTCAGAGAAGCGACTCTGGAGGAACTCCAGCACTGAAGCCACCGGGCAGTTAACTGGGTCCAACTGAAGTTCTCTGCACCATATGTTAAAAACATTCCATTTTAATGAATAAAGTTTCCTCGTGGAGGGGGCTCTAGAGTTTAAAATGGTCTCCACAACCTCAGTTGAGAGACCAGTATTTACGAGCTGGTCCCCCTCAGGGGCCAGACCCACAGCTTCCACAACTCCGGCTGAGGGTGAAATATCGTGCCCTCGGCCTGAGAAAGAAGGTCCCTCCTGATCGGGATTTGCCAAGGAGGGCCTGCTAGAAGAACCATGATGTCCGAAAACCATACTCGGGCCGGCCAGTACGGGGCTACCAGGAGTAAGCTGATCCCGTACCGCCGGACTCTCTCTAGAACCCCTGGGAGCAGAGCGATAGGGGGAAACGCATACAGACGTAGCCTCGGCCACGTCTGTACCATGGCATCCAGCCCCAGGGGAGCTGGATGCGATAGGGAGAACCAGAGTGGGCAGTGAGAATTCTCGTGAGTGGCAAATAGATCCACTTCGGCCTGTCCAAACTCCTTCCATATTAGCTCCACCGACTCTGGGTGGAGTCTCCAATCCCCGGGCCTCAGCCCCTGCCTCGACAGAATATCTGCTCCCACATTGCTGCTTCCAGGGATAAACATAGCCTTGACTGAAAGAAGTTTGCCCTGGGCCCACAGGAGGACCTGGTGCGCCAGTCTGCATAGAGGGCGCGATCTCAGGCCCCCCTGCCGATTTAAATAGGAGACCACTGACGTATTGTCTGTTCGTACCAGAACATGATGGCCTCTGAGGTCCGGAAGAAAGTGCTTGAGAGCCAGAACTACCGCCAACATCTCCAGGCAGTTGATGTGCCAAGACAGATGGTGGTCTTTCCAAAGCCCCCTGGTGAAGCGGCCTTCCATAACCGCACCCCAGCCTGTTAGGGAAGCATCCGTGGTCACAATTTTTCGCTGACACGGTGCCCCCAACACAGGACCTAGGGAGAGAAACCAAGGTTTCTTCCACATTATCAAGGAATGAAGGCATCTGCGCGTTACCTTGATAATGCGAAAAGGGTTCCCCCTCGGGGAAAACCCCTTGGTCTTGAGCCACCACTGTAAGGCTCTCATGTGCAGCAGGCCAAAAGGAATCACGTTGGACGCTGCCGCCAGGAGACCCAGCACTCTCTGAAAGTGCTTGACAGTGATGGTTTGGCCCAGCCTGAAACTCCTTATTGTGGTCAAGATGGAATTTACACGAGCAGGAGACAACTGTGCCCGCATTGTAATTGAGTCCCAAACTACTCCCAGGAACATAATCCTTTGCAGAGGAGACAACGAACTCTTCTTGACATTGAGTCTCAGTCCCAAGCACCTTAGATGGTGCAGAACAACATCTCGATGTTGAACTGCCACTACCTCCGACTCTGCTAGAATTAGCCAGTCGTCGATGTAATTGAGGATGCGAATGCCTTGAAGTCTGAGAGGAGCAAGAGCAGCATCCATACATTTGGTGAAGGTGCGCGGTGACAGTGCTAGACCGAACGGAAGAACCTTGTATTGGTAAGCCTTTCCCCCGAAAGCAAACCTTAGAAACTTCCTGTGTTGCGGAAGGATGGAAACATGGAAATACGCATCTTTCAGATCTATCGTTACAAACCAGTCCTCGGACCTGATTTGACTTACGATAATAGGTATGGTCAACATTTTGAACCTGTATCTCCTCAGAGACCGGTTCAATACCCTGAGATCTAATATAGGACGTAAACCCCCATCCTTCTTGGGAACTATGAAGTACCGGCTGTAGAACCCGGTTTCCTGCTCTTGAGGAGGAACATACTCTATGGCCTCCTTTGATAAGAGGGACTGAACTTCCTGTTCCATGACCTGACCCTGCTCGGAGCTGACCAGTGTATGCACGACCCCGCTGAATCTTGGCGGGCGATATTCGAACTGGATTCTGTAACCCTTCTCTATTATATGCAGGACCCACTGAGATATATTTGGAAGACCCTTCCAGGTGTCTAAATATTCTACTAGGGGGATCAGTCTCTCGAGACTGACCTCTGGTGTTACATTTAAAACCTCGGTGACCTGAAGCAGATGACTGGCAGGTCTTAACCGAAATAATTCTTCTGCAGGCCTCTTGAGAGGAAGCGAGCTCGACCGGGCCACCAACATTACGGGTGGACACTGCGATCTGCGTTCGCTGGAAACCGATGCGTCCCGAAGCGCCTTTGGCGGCGGGAAGCATACATCGATTTCCTGAGGGCTCCGCGAAGGAGCGAGTTGTTGACACTCGATCGCGGGGGGGAACGCCCTCAGAGGCCTGCGCAACACGTCAGGACCTCTTCGACGAAGCCTTCCTCGCCTGAATAACGGTCCTCAGATCCGTTTTCGGCAGGGAAGACTTCGGTTGAGAGTGTTGCCTCTGGCTCCAAGCCTTCTTCGGGGGAGCACGAGAAGCAACACTCTCTCTTTGTTGTTGCATGTGGGAGGAGCTGGCGGCCGCCTCGTGGGACTGCCCCCTGGCAGCAGACCCACGCGACTTGGGACGACGGCGGGGGATTAGCTGTTTTAATGCGGCTGATTGTCGTTTTGTCTCCTGAAACCTCTCGACGACAGTATCGACTGCGTCGCCGAAGAGGCCAGAAGACGAAATCGGGGCGTCGAGGAGGAAGGCCCTGTCCCTATCCCCGACGCCCGACAAATTCAGCCACAAATGCCTCTCCGTTGCTACCAAGGCTGCCATAGAACGGCCGATTGCACGGGCCGTCTCTTTAGTAGCACGGAGAGACAAGTCAACCGCTCGACGCATCTCTTGAATATCGTCGAGGGCGACCTCCCCGCTATCGTCCACCTCTTTCAACAGGTCGGCCTGGTACGCCTGCAGGAGCCCCATTGTGTGCAGGCATGCACCAGCCCGACCTGCCGCCATATATGCCTTCCCAACCAAAGCCGATGTTGTACGGCAGGGCTTGGAGGGAAGCGCCGGAGCCCTCAGGGACGATGCAGCTTCGGGCGAGAGATGAGATGCAAAAGTCTCTTCAACCCGAGGCATCGTCCCATAGCCCATCTCTCTCGACCCCATTATGGTGGAATATATATTTACATTGGGGCTGGAAAGTCGAGAGGAGAAGGGCTTATCCCACGACCTCGACACCTCGGTGTGGAGATCGTGGAAAAATGGAAGACTCCGGCGTGAAGGTTGTGACTGGGTTTGCAGGAAGCGCTCATCGAGTTTACTTTTTACCGTCGCTTCCTGCACTTCTAGTGGCCAACTGATGTTTAGTTTGGCCACAGCCCTAGTCACAACCTCCAGCAGCTCCTCAGATGCAGGAGAATGGGGTGGCAGATCCCCACATTCCCCTGCACCGATGCTCAAATCATCCACCTCCTCAGAGGCAGACAATTCGAGCATCTGGTCCTCATCACGGGCGGGAGAAGCCGCAGGGCGGGCTCCCGGTCCGCGAGCGGGACCATGGGAACTGGCTGATGAATGTTGAGAAAGGGCCTCGGCCGTCTCAACATCCACAACCAGATCCCTTTGCGATCCCCAGGAATGCAGGCGCCGCGCTGCCTCGGCAGACGCGGGACCCGATCCCTGGGGAACGCGTGCCTGTCCTGATTCACTGAACAGACACAGCCGGGAACGGAGCGTTCTCATGGGCATGAGATCACAGTTTGCACAGACAGCACCCTCGAGTGCTGCCTGTGCATGCTCCATTCCCAAACAAACAACACAGAGCGAGTGTGTGTCACCCTCGCTCAAAAAGCGTGGACAAGGGGACGCACACTGTCTGAACTGCTTCTTAGCTGCCATCTCTCACAAATACAATCACAAACAACACCAAATAAGACACACAGTCACATAGAACGCTTGCTGAAGATCAGAAAGCTGGCGCCATTATGTTGCCGGTGTCCTTTTATAGTTTCCGGTTCACCGTCACATGCGGCGTCACGAGTGACGTCATCACGCAGCACCAATCAAGATTGGACTAGTTCCATACAGGCTTCAGACGCGTCACGCTGAAGGCGTTCCCCATAGTGTCGATTTTCGACGCAGCGGAAGTTCCCTCGAAAGGGAACTGACATTGCCTATGGAAACTCTGTTAAATGTAGGGCCGGATCTGATATTTGATGCCACACGTCTTTTTCAGTGTTCCCTAACGGTTGATACTGAACATGACGTGCATCGCCCTGAGTGGTGTTCATGTGTGGATTCTGAATGTTTCTCAGTGAAATCTCACTGACATGCTTGGCTCTGTCCACTGCTTTTTCATGTAGTCTCTCCTCCAGAATGGCTGAAGTCTCTCGCTCCAGATAAACCTCATAGAGTGATTTATAATACGGCTTCCATCGGGTCATGAGAGATGAGCTTATCGTCAACAAAAATGAAAGGCCAAGAATAAGAATTAGGCCAATTACCTAGAAGAAGAAAAAACTAATTCAATTGAAAAAATGGCATAGGTCAAGGTCACAATCTATTTAACCATTTAACATGCCTCTCTACCATTTGGTAGAAACCAGTAGAAACATTAAGTGTAAAAAAAAAAAAATAAAAAAAAAAATACACAATTTTCACCAGCATCATTTCAGGATGTTAGCAGCAGAGAAATCCTTTAACGTATGGATTAATTTTAGAAAGGTAATAATTTATTTTGTATATAATATAGTTTCAGAGGGCATGGTGAACAGATTAAATAAACTTTTTTTTAAAAAGAAGGAAAACATGCTCAACCAATGTCTATTAATTGTAAAAGTGAAAACACTTTCAATTCTGCAGCAGATTCAATCAAGTGTTATTGTTAACTAGAACTAAAACTGTTAAAAATAGTTTTCGGTAACCGAAAATAAAGCTGAAATAAAATATAATAGTCCCTGACAAAAGTCTTGTCGCTTATCTATTTTGTAGAAACACCTGCTATTAACCTGACTTTTAATTAATCAATTGGTGTTAGAAATAGCTCATATGAAAAGCTAAAACCCTCCCAAATCATGTTCAATGCACTGAAATAAATTAGTTTCACTGAAAAAAGATTTATCATTTAAACAAGACAGAAAGGTCAAATTTTGGCAAGACAAAAGTTTTGTCGCCTATACAGAAATTGAACAAATTTACTGCAAATACAAAAATATGGCCGCAAATTAAATATTGGTGCTGTGAGATCCAAATTTAATATCTTGTATGACTTCCATGAGCTTGAAGGACTGCATCCATGCGGTTTGGCAAGGATTCATACAATTTATTGATGAAGTCATCAGGAATAGCAAAGAAAGCAGTCTTGCATGCCTCCCAGAGTTCATCAATATTCTTTGGTTTCGTCTTCCATGCTTCCTCTTTCATCCTACCCCACATATGCTCAATGATGTTCATGTCTGGTGACTGGGCTGGCCAATCCTGGAGCATCTTGATCATCTTTGATGTGGAGATGGAAGTATGCGATGGAGCACCATCCCGCTGCAGAGTTTGGCCTCTTTTATGGTTGGGATTGGGAATATAAGAGGTAGCTAAGATTTCTTGGTATTTTAGACTATTGATGTTGCACACCCCCATACTGGATGTAACCCCAGACCATGATTTTTCCGCCACCAAACTTCACTGTTTTCTGGGTGAATCTCGGATCCATGCGGGCTCCAGTAAGTCTCCTGCAATATTTGCAGCCACTGTGGTGTAATTCAACAGAAGATTCATCTGAAAAATCCACCTTCCACTTTTCCAGCGTCCATCCTTTTAGCAGGCTGTGGGCCTTGGCAAATGCCACACGGTTTTTCAATTGTCTTTTGTTTAGTGCTGGCTTCTGGGCACTGATTCGACTACGGAGGCCATTTCGAGACAAAATCCGACAAACTGTTCTGGTTGACACAGGGACTTCAGGTGACCAGGTCTCGTGGAGCTCTGCTGCAGGGGAAAATGGGCTGGCCTTGGATTTTCGAGCCAACAAACGGTCCTCTCGAGAAGTTGTCTTGCGGGGTCTGCCTGACCTGGGCTTGTCAAAAATGTCTCCAGTGTCTTCAGATGGTTTTTTTTATCCTCTGTACTTGACGCTGAGACACATTGAAGGTGTCTGCCACATCAGCAGTGGATCTGGTCTTCAGCCTCTTGATAATCAAAACTTTAGTCTCAGGGTGAATCTTAGGCATGTTTGCAGAGGTCTAGTTGCAGTTGATGTGAAGGTCTAGTGTACTGGGGTTGTTTTTATACACACCTGAGACCTAATTGATCCATTATTAGTCACAGGTGAAGCTCATATGACAAGGCGACAACACTTATGTCTTTGCAAAAATTGACTCAATGGGCTTTACCAAGCTGTGAATATTAGAATGCTTTTTGACAGTTTCGTTTTGCACTGAAACATTATTACAAAAGCTGTTGGGATTAAAATGAGCCATTTCTTGTAAAAAAAATCTTGATTAGAAATATATTTCAGCGGCACTTCAGGTCAATTTGTACACAAGAGACAAGACTTTTTTGTCAGGGACTGTATAAAAATTAGATGAAAAACTTAAATTTAAAAAAACCTGAGAAATAAGAAATGCTGCCTTGGCAATAACTGAAATAAGTTAAAGTTGAAGTACTAAAATTACTAAGACTGAAAAGATAAATAAAGGTAAAAATAGAATAGAAAATAGATTCCTTTTTTAAAAACGAACAATAATAAAAATGACAAAAGCACATTAGAAAATGAATAAAAATTAAAAATTAAATTAAATATAAAAATAAAAGCTAAATACATATTGATTTTTTAACAAGCACTTTCTGTCATTTCTGATTTCGCCTAACATATGTAACCAACAAACACAGAACGTTTCCCTAATGTAGGCCTATATGGTTTTTCCAATTTGGAAACCAAATAATTTTAGGAAGCCAAAAAACGTTCTCTGAATGTTTTTATTTCTTCTTCTTTTTTTTCTTACCAAAAACTTCCCAGTAGCCTACGTTCTGTGAACCGAAATTGTTAACTGTGTGATCAAATATGAGGGATAGCAATATAATAAATAACACAGATCAAATTTACCCGTGATTCACTGTCAAATTTTCTTAGAGTCTCTGCTTCTCCTGGAGTTGGTAGATCCTTGCACGCAATTTGCTCCCCGGTACCGTTCACATTAACGGTCCGCATGCAAACGTACCAATCCCCGTCAATAAATGCAACGACTATCCACAGCGATCCTGCATAAAAGACATTGAATAGATGCTTCCATATAATGCCACAATAATACCATCCTTCCTGTCCACAGCGTTCTGGATGATAACAGTAACCCCCAGCACAACAGCAGCATTCAAAAGTATCGCAGCACTCACTCTTACAACATCTGCTCTGGCTGCTGACGCAACATCTGCATACGTAACATCTGCACATCTTCAGGAGCTGAGCGTTGATGAGGATCATAATGAAGAACAGTATGCCTATTGGCAGACACAGGTAGAGCCAGCAGTGCAGGAGAGTTGTCTCGCGAGTTGTGCAAGGGCACGTGAACACATATTTGAAAAAGATAAGCATGGCCAGGACTATGACAGCTGTCCTGACGGGTACATTTCTGAGTACATAAGTTGAAAAAAACGTGTGTCGAGCCATTTCTGCATACGCTTAACGGAACCCATACAAGAGCTCATAGGCGTCGATTTCGGTGGGGACGGTGGGTACGCGTCCCCACCAGATTTCGTCATGAGTCATTTTGTACCCACCACTCTTGGAAACATTGAGGCACGGTCGGATGTACCTAATACAAATAAAACATCTCCAGTTAACTAGCAGAGCATTCATTTAGTTCGCTCTTAAATAAGAGATCTAGCTAAAATGTTTTGTTTTTTAACTCAAGCTGAGCGCTCGTGTCCGCTGCTATCAGTGTCGTGGATACAGTGTTCTCTGTGGCTCGCGCACAGTCTTCACTCGGACGCGCACTTCAATCTATCGCCGTTGCGGAGAGACTCTGTATATATTCATTCCGGTGAAATTACAAAATAAAATGCACACAAACGTGTCCCTGGCTGCTTGATATAGACTGTAACCACTGATGAACATTATTCAGTTTTGAGAGAAAAAAAAACTATACCGAGGGCGGATTAGAACCCGTCACCTCTGACACGCTTGGCAAAAGATCTACCACCAGACCATTTAAAAACTCAAATGAAATTCGCGGATCGATGCATTTATTTACGGGTTAAACAGGCTGCAGAATTTGTACCCAGCACTTTTGAAAATGCACTTCCGAATGCGTCTCTGTCCCCACCACATTTCAAACCAAACTGACGCCCGTGCAAGAGCTGTAAAGCACCGCGGGCTGATACAATCTCAGTAGTTCAACAAACATAACACGGCTGATATCCGCTGCTCCGTCTTCTCAGTGGATGTGGCAGAGGAAAGGGAGGGACAGTTAGGATTATTTATCCCACAACAACAGTAAGGTTGGAGAGATGCAGCGCCCCTCTATGCGTGTAGAGACTGTATAGTAATCATTCTAAGGACCGTTTCAACCACTAGATGGAGCCCAGGTTTTTAATAGCAGGGAGGAGGTGTGTCTTTACAGGAATATGAGTCAGGAAGCCGAAGCACTTTTCTAATGAACCTTACACGGGAGATTATTTACTCTTTCTTTAATGGTATTTTCTTAAAATCTAAACGTATCTTAACTCGACTCTGACTTCACGGTAAGATGTTCTTCCGTCTGCTGGCATGACAGCACTAGATGCAGCAGGATGGATTATTGCCGACTGTTTAACTTTATATCAAGGGATATCATAACCTCCATGTGTATACGAGAATTGATTTGTTAAATAAATAGTCCAGGTCGAATATTTTTATGTTGATACGCAAATAGAAGGACACGCTATTTTTATTGTGTTCATCATGTGATTGATATTTACTGCAGGATTTTTTTTCTGTCGCTTTTCTTGGCATGTTCAGAAAGTGGAATCATGACAGTGTTTGAAAACTGTACTGTAGTGTTAGATGTGAAGAATGTCCCTTATAAAGAGAAGAAGAAGCTGAGATTGGCTCTTCTGGATAATGGAGGAAACGTATCTTATGTCATCAACAAAGAGGTTCGTATCCCATCGTAACATGGGAATGAGGCCCTTTCTGCTTTATAATGCTTACAGTGCCCCAAGAGGTTAAAATAATTAAGTGCGCAATGTTCCTTCTAAAGAGCTGCAGTGTGTCTTCTGACCTGCTTTTCTCTTCTCCAGTGCTCTTTTGTAGTCACTAGCAGTGTGAATGACCTGAGCAGTAACCGGCAGAGCAGCATCCAGAAGCTCCGGATCCCAGTGGTTGGGACGCAGTATGTGTGGTGCTGTCTGGATGAAGGGCATCTCCTGCCTTTGACGGAGCATGATTTGGCCCCACAGCTGGCTTATCCCACCTCTGAATTCATCTCTTGTCCAGGTCGAAGTTTCATTAATTTATTGAATTCTCACATTTTCTTTCTTTGGTTAGAATAGATATCAGATGTTTGTGTCAAGTCACATGAGATGTGTAATCAAAGGTGGAGGGACAGAATGGATGGGAGTGTCACAGCCAGATTAGTTGTGTTTGCTTACTGTGGGGGTGTTTTGTTCTGTTTTTGTACTCTTCTGTTGCAGTACATTTTTGTTGAGAAATATATTTGATATATTTAGGTAATGAGTATTAAATGAGATTAAACCATGCGGTTTTGTGGAGCTGTTGACATACTGTTGTTTTTCACCATAAAGAGGGAAAAGTGTCGACCCAGATACAAGAAAAAGAGGAGTTCAAAGGTCAGTCTGAATTCCCGAAGACTGAGATAGCGGCTCTTGAGAAGGGCGGACCCAGTCTTAGCAGGTTCAGGTATGCTCTTGTTTTTTGTCATCGTCAGTCCTTGAGTGTTATTAAAAAGTTTCTTTATTGTTCTACAATTTTCACATCATTTATTTAGATATGCTAGTTAACCCTTTCATCTTTGCATTTACCCAATGCAGAGTTTACAGAGGCGGCGACCATGAGCTGCCTGAATTTCCTTCACATTTTCAAGTGGCCAAGTATTCCATTTTTGAGAGGGTGAGTGAGTGTGTCATAGTGTGTCACATCATTAAAAAAATCGATTTTCCCTTAATCTTTTTAATTAAAAGAGTTAGTGTATAATGAAAACACACTGTACATTTCAGAACTCAAAGTAGACAATTTATTCAAAATACACTGCAAAAATGACTTTCTTTCAGCTTCCACAACTTTCTGAAATCAGACAGATAAATACATGCACACAATACCCGTATGTCATAAATTTGACAAATAAGTGGAACTCAGGGGAAAAATAAAATAGTAATAAAATGTACGATGACCAGTTTAACACATTCCTGAAGTGATTATTGTAGCCTCCATCACTGCCTGAGTTTGAAGGTGTTTTCATGCCTGTTGCAGGTCAAACCCAAGACTTTGTCTGTTTTGGAGCTGCAGAGTGCCAGAGGACGAAAAGGCCAGCAGTATCGTGTGTTGTCTTCAATCTTGCATGAAGCTGAGGTTTAGTCATCTCAAACACCGTTTAAACTGTTTAGATGTTGTTATCATAGGACTCATATATTGTGAGAGAGGTAATGAACACTTGACAGTCTTGACACTCTCTCACTGTAGAGCGCAGTGGTGCAGGACAAGCTTGTGTACTGCGTGACGTCTGAGGATGCTGTGGAAGCGTATCTGCTGCTGATGAAGGAGATGGAGACACAGGGATTCACAAGGACTCACACCCTTCCTCCTGAGGTTGAACACTTGGCGTCCTACAGCCTGCAGCAGGTTAGACAGAAACATCTCTATGAAGATCTATTTTATTCAGTTGATACTGTACAGTATGTGCATATATAACGTGTCCAATGAGATTAAAATTAGTTCATCTTTTGATTTGCAGCTTCTGTTGGAGGAGAAGCTGAACTGCAGCTCATTATCACAGGAAGTTGGCGTCTTTGTGGAGCTGGTTTGGACCGAAGCTCTCGGTTCCCTTAGTGACATCCTGACAGTCCCTGTCTCCAGAATCAGCCTTAATGATGTGAGAATGAGCCTTTGATAATCACACACACACATCCAATCATGAAGCTCACAGGAATGTTGTGTGTTTAATGTCTCTGTGCTGTTGCAGGTGAGCAGGGTGGAGGGATTGTTACTGCAGGCACAAAAGACTCAGAAAGAGGATGAAGTCAAGGCCCTGCTAGAGGAGGTCAACACTCTTCTACCCCTCAGAATGATCGACCCTCCTTCCAAACACAAGCTTGTGTCTCAGAAACTAGATCTTTGTCAGGTAACGTATGCAATTATAGTATACAGTTATATAGATTCCTTCACATTTGGGGATTTTGGTAGATTCTTCTATTTGGATTTTAACTCCACAGTGCAGACTGGTACTTTAAACTCTTCTGTCGTCCTCAGCTGATAAGAGACATTTTGAATGTGAGTGAAGCCACTCTGGGAAGCCCCTCGCCCTCGTCTCTGGGAAAGTATCGAGCTCTGAGGTGCAGCATTGAGGTTGTTCCACCACAAAACCCTGAGTTTCATGTTGTCTCTCAACTGCTTCATGAAAGGTAAACTTGATTGTGATGATTGTGGTCTGAAGTTCAAACATGAATATATTATGATGGTGTTAATCTTGTATCCACTATAGGCCTGTTCAGATTCAGCAGATACTGCGTGTAAGCAGAGGGGTGGAGCTTCAAATGTTTTGGGAGGATATAGGCAACATTAAGCCTCTCCTTCACTCCACTAGTCCCAGTAGTTTTGTTGGAATACTGTCACGGTAAGAACATATTCTTTAAAAAATAATAATATTTACACACTGTGACAAAACCACACAAACCTATGTTTATGCAGACCATATACTGTGGTGGAGTAAGTGAAGACAGACACAGTAGGTGTGGTTGAACCATGTTTCTTGTTATGGCTGATAGTAAGTGCATTTAGAAATAATAATGTACAAAAATGGACATTGTTGTTGAGATTTGCATTAAATGTAATAAGATTAAATTTAACTGTTATTAAATGATTAATAAAGTATGGCAAAATTAATCTAAATGTAAAAATAAAGTAAATGAGCAATACTAAAAACACCATGTAGACCAACCCTGAAAAACTCTGTAAAAACATCTAGGTTACGACTGTAACCTCTGTTCCCCGAGAACAGGGAATGAGACACTGCGTCACGCCCCAGGCGTGACAGGTGTCTGAAATCACAATCAAATCATGGTAATCCTATTGACCGGGGACAGCCCATGAATCATTAACGTGCGACCTGGAAGTATATAAGGGCGCCTTGCAAACATGATAATCACCTTTTCGTCTGAAGGGACTGTTTGGTAGGCAGGCCCCGAGGCATGTTCTCAGGGAACAGAGGTTACAGTCGTAACCTAGAAGTTCCCTTTCGAAAGGGAACTCGCACTGTGTCGATTGACACTAAGGGGAACGATATACCAACGCCACCATGCTAAGGGGAGTGCATACCCATTGGCAGTGACAACTGTCAAAACCAGCAAATTCAAATGAAATGCCAGAACCACTCACCCTCAGGTCACACTGGGCTGTCAGTGACAGCATTCCCTACGGTCAAAGCCCAATCTATACGTTCCACAGGAAAACCTCCATAAACCTTGATTAACCCTTTCACACGTAAGTTTAAAATATTCTAACTGATCCCCCCAGCGTGAGTTTTTCTAGGCGACCGTTATTTAGAACCTGTCACTTTAATGTTTCCATGGTGACGCGTCATTGCTTGTCACGTGACACAGCGCAACCACAACACAGCGCTGAATGAATGATGATCTGCTTTTATGTAATTTTCCCTTTTTTATTCAAAATATTCACAAATGTATTAGCTATAACATGAAACACTGATATTCTGATTGTCAAATATGTGCAAGTGGATGTGTTCTGTTGTTTAAACACCTTTATAACGATTGCGTTAGTTGAGCTGTATGTGCGATGGGCGGCGCCATGTTAGTTTACAACACGTCAATTCCTCAACTTCTGACGAAATACATGAAAGTAAGTGGGCGGTGAACTGGGAGAAGAATAGGGTAAAATGTAAAGCTACTTACACATTGTGTATCTGATATGAATAAAACGTGTCGTCTTATTATAATGGAAAGGATTATTATTGCCGCTTCCGTAGACATCAGTGTGTATTTTACAAACTCAAAATAATTTTTTTGCTAGTACTTATGTGTATTTAAATGTCTGAAACCTAAAATAAACATTATGTGGTTGAAAACACTGAATAGTTGTGATATAAATACAGCACTGAGCGCGTCTGTCTCTGGCTCAGCGCCACCCAACGCACGAAAGCACGTTTGAATTTAGCAGTTGATCACGTGATGCACTGACCGTTCTAATCACACCGGTGTGATCGTACGCCCCAGGGACCAGCCAAGACTGATCACACCGGTGTGATCGTATGTGTGAAAGGGTAAATGAAAGGACTACCTGGGCCTGTTCATGGGGCCTAGGACCACAGCTTCAAATTTAGAAGGGGTCCCTTCTAGGGAATGTGGCTAGGGAACCCGAAGGAGCCCCAGCCAATCACGGATCAGGAAGGCCTGACCTGGCGTCACTTACATTGGACACTTCAGTCTGTCCAACTTCCTGTCTGTCTGAAGACAGAGCCTCTGGACACTTGCCTTTAGGTAAGGCATCCAACCCGGGGGACTGCGAAGCTGACAGTGAACCACTCGGCCCAGATCTCAGGTATCCCGGAGAACATGACTCAGCATAGTGCTTACAATCCTTGCTAGCGAGGGGAGTGTCTCTGCTCGATCCACAGATCTACCCAGTGTTTGTGTTTCAGAAACTGAGAAGGCCTGAAAAGGCCTAAGGGCTAATCTAACTGGGAGGCCTCACGAGAGGCCTACGACCATCTGACCAGACTCAGGAGGCTGAGTACTCATAGTGACCCTCAGTGAGGGGAGCACATGGCCTGCCTGGTAGGCAAACCAGGCTGTGGGCTAGATAAAAGAGGTTCCGGGAGGGAACCAGTAGCAGAAAATGACCATTAGTCAGGCTAGGGCGCAAGCTCACCTTCAGAAGCTGCCTGCTAAGGCCAGCTGAACTGATAGCAAGCGGCCACTAGCTGCCAGAACCCAGCATTGCTGGGAGACCACTTACAAGGAGGCCTGGTGAGGCCTACTACCTGATAACCAGAGGGCTGGCTACCTAGTGCCCGTATTTGGGAACTCGTCTTAAGGGAGTCTACTGCCCGAACTACTAAGGCCAACCACCTGAGGTAAGCTGGCCTACCGCGCGCATTTTGGGGGCTGCCCAGTCAAGGAGGCCTGCTGAGGCCTACTACCTACCTGCGCAGCCTTCGTTGGCAGATAAGCTGTTTACACAGCGCCTACAGTATCCTGGTACCTAATCACATTGCCCATGGCAGTGTACTCAGCAAAAAACGCAGCACTCTTTAAGCAAGGGGAGGACAACATGCACCACTCTGCCTCAACGGAGGCCCCAGAGTCAGGGGCCTACCATCTGTACGCATGGGCAATGCTCTGGCTTCACGGGAGCGTACTTAGGAAACCAAAAAGAAGTGAAGGTTAGAACTTTCCGCTTGACCCGAGCCATAATGGTGCGAGGTAGGATAATACAGAACTGAAAGTGAAGTACTCAGACCTACCCTGTATCACAGGGGAATACTACCACCTCACCCTGAGATTTAACAGGGTGCGGGCCCGCCAGCGGCTCTAGAGGTGACAGAATTTTATCTGCGCCCAGCCTAGGGGAGTGGGGCTTGCTTGTAAGTCACCCACCTACAACCCGACGCTCGAGCAGTAGCTTAGCGAGGTGAGTGGAGCCTATTCTTGCAGCCCAAATCCATATGCTATTTCTGCACGGCGGGGTCAGGCAGACCAAACTCAGTCTCTTCGTGAGAAAACGGCCGAAGACAGCCTAACCCTGCTCAAGAAAGACCAATTGTATTGGGGAGGCCTTATTGAGGCCTAACCCAGGGTCTTTATAAATCATGCCTCTGCACCAAGCTGCATTACTCTTCTCGCCCCAGAATGCAGAGAAGGGGGCGGGCCTTGGCCTAACGACTCCCATAGGAGGAGGCTGTCATATAGGGATGCTAAAAACCTACATTCACAAAGTGAAGGGCCAGAGCCAGAAATGCTTTAGCGCAATGCCTCCACTATCCCTAGCATAGCCTAGGCCAGCTACAGGACGAGGACTAGCCTGTAAGCATAGATCTACCTGAGGGCTCAGAGGAGCCCCAGCCTTACGAGAATTTTTTTTTTTTTTCATACGAGGGGCTGCAGAATCGCTCAGCCTACTAAAAACCCAAACAGAGCTCAAGAAGGCGATGTACTCAGGACCAAAAAATGTCAGACGGTCCTGTGGACCGGACATAAGTTCTATCTGAAGCTCCAGCGTCAGTCTATACTCCAAAACAAAAAACTTTTTTGAGAGAGAGAGACCAACTACTCTACCCTGAGGTGGCTAATAGCCCAAAAGGCTAACACAGATGTGTGTAGAAAAAACAAGTGGTAGCATAGACATTCCCTTTCTTCTTTCTAGAAGGACGTTCTGACACTTAACTCTCCGCTGAGAACATATTTCATATGAATGAGCAGCGGCCTCAAATGCTCTCACCATAAGAGGAAGCCTAAGCTATAAACATAGTTTTACAACTAGAATGAGCGGTGGCACACCTCGCTTTATCTTACATATGACAACAAGAGAAGCCATCACATACTCACAAAAGAAGCCCATACAACTGGTGCTTCTCTCTATCGTTCTTGCCACCTAACAGGGGAACTTCAGGGCCTTATGACCTTATGACATTGACATTTACATGACCCCATAACTCTATACAGGTCTGTAGAGAGATACATTTTAGTGTTAGTTGCACACAAAAATTACTCTTAAAGAAGACCAACTCAGCTCACCTGCGGCGTGCGAAGTGAAGACTCACCAGAAAGTTCTTTATGAACATGGGGTCTACCCACTTTACATGCCTGAAAGAGGCACTCTCACTAACCAAGCCGAGGCGGGCCATCAGAACATTGTTCTCACCATGGGCCCAGCTTCAGGCCTGATATAAGAAGCGCCAGGGGAGTCGGGGAAGAGAGGAGAGGGCTAAGATATAATCATGCTGTAAGCCCGGCTCGATCGATCCAATGGCGGCATTTGATCAGCGGGTGAAGTTCTCTGCATGTTACTGTCTTTCTGCATGGCAAAGTAATTTTATTAAATGACATACATTTTCTCATGTATTATCTCGTTATTTCATCTGACTCCATAAATGAAAAGGTTTTAATGATATCTGGGCATCATTAAATGTGAGCGAATGTTTGACTATTCTTTTTAACTCTTTACTGAAAATAATGTCAAAGCCAGTTAGAATAAAATCAAATGTTTACAATTTATTATGTCAGGTAAATGTATCATGTCAATTTCATAATCAATTCAAAGATAATCAATACAATAACATCAAATGAGTAAAAGATGTAGGTTAAACCCGACATTTAGAAATATATGATGCGGAGTGCCAGCATCCACTCTGCATCATGGGCTAATTTTGAGTTACAAAACGCCCCCATTCTCTTGTTGTATTTCTTTATATAGACAGAAACTTCTTTCACATGGAAACGTGCTCACAATGGAAATTTGCATTCAGAGGTTACACCTTTTAAGAGCAGGAGACCATTTGTCTGGAAGACCCACCCTCTTTGTGTACAGGTTATCTCTAAACTCCTAAAAACCTTATTATCTTTAGTTTTACTTCTTTGGGAATGAGACCTTTGTACCAGTCGCACTGAGACATTTCAAATGATATCAAACATGTGTAATACTGTATGATAATTATTCACATCAAAACCATATAGATTTTGGATGAATTTCAGGTGATCTCAGCATGAGAGAGAGAGAGTGGGGGTAGAGGGAAAGAGATGTAGGTGGTGAGACTTCTGAGGTGAGACTTGCGTCTCGAATGGTGCACCAGAGTGAGTTCAAATGTTAATTTCCTTTGTTCTCTCAGGGAGTAGCTCTTTCTTCCAGTTCTTCTAGTTTTTCCAGTCTTACAACGCCCTCAAGGGAGGTGATCCATCAGCGACGCTGTGTGTGCTTGTGCTGGATCACCTCCTTCCTTTTGTGGGAGTCGTGCCTCTTCTGCGACCTACTCCTTCACGGAGCAGGCGCACAAGAGGCGATACTGGCTCTCTGGCCCTGTCTACGGTCCTCGGACCATGATATGCCATGCCCTCCCGTCTGTCTGGGTGTGGATACGGATCTCAGCGGTATACATGGTCCTAAATGCAGCTAAGCACGCCTTCGCCTCTCTGAACTTTCCAACCACCGTCTCCACGGAGGTGCCAAAAAGCTCAGAGGGCGAAACCGGCGAATCGGGGAGAAAGCCTTTATCTTTCTCCTCGATGTCGGCCAGGTTCAACCACAGATCTCTCTCCGTGGCACTATCGCCGCCATCGACCAGCCGATCGCGGCAGCAGTCTGTTTGGTGGCCTGGAGAGCTAGATCTGTGGTGTGGCACAGCTCAGTAACCGCCTCAGGGGCCCCACCCCCTGGTCGAGATTCCCCAGCAGATCAGCCTGGTATACCTGCAACACCATGGTGTGCAGGGCAACACCGGCCTGACCCGCTGACGTGTATGCTCTGCCATTCAAACTGGCAGGGCAGCTGCAGCCTGCCCACGGCGTGTTCCATAACACCAACCACGCTCAGCATACACGGGGCAGGGTGGCTGAGAAGATTCAGGATCTATCCGATTATCACCACCCTGATCAGCCATCTCCTGTTCGTCCGGAAGAGCACTCGCTGCCGGACTAAGTTCTATTTTATATTTTTTATAGAAAAGCTTTCATCATCCACCTGCAGCTCACCCTTGTCAGCCGCCGACTCTCAAGGCGATCGGCGAGCTCCATCTGGGAAGCCCATAATGCACGTCGCCGCGCTGCTTTAATTTTTTTTTTTTATATATTCAGCACGAGCGGGACCTGAGCCTCAAGGTCCAGACACCGAACCCTCGAGAGCGGTGCGTTCTCAAAGAAAAACGCTCACAATTTACCCAGGCATTTCCCTCGAGACCTGCCTGTGCACGCTCTTTCTTCCCAGACAGAAAACGCACAGTTCGTGTGTGTCACCCGGCGTCCAATATCTTGAGCACGGGTCTGCACAGTTCTCAGTGCATTTCATAATCCTGTATTTTCAAGCGCTTACAGACAGAACAGTCCCTGAAGACGAAAAGATGATTATCATGTTTGCAAGGCGCCCTTATATACTTCCAGGTCGCACATGAATGATTCACGGGCAGTCGCCAGTCAATAGGATTACCGTGATTTGATTGTGATTTCAGACAACTGAGGCGTTCCCCTTAGCATCAATCGACGCAATGCAAGTTCCCTTTCGAAAGGGAACCTCTAATATCTGTCTATAAATTGACAGAAAACACTTTTTGTAATGTCTATTCAATGATTTATTCTTCGCAATAATCATGTAATGTCATTTGTTCATTTTGGGAATTTTTTCAGCAAGTGTTAATGCAATTCATTGTCATTCATTTGATTGCTTATTGTTGTTTATCATGTAATTAATAATTTAAAAAAAACAAATTTTAATGGAATATTCTATGTAGAGGTCTGCTGCTGCCCAGAGTTGGAGTCGAACAGCATGGAATTGAGAGGACGGATATCGGGAATCTTGGAGGAGGAATCTACTTCAGTGACTCTCTAAAGTCAGTGGTCTTTTGCATTTCTCAGGCATCTTTTAATATAACAGATTTATGAATACTCCACTTTCATGACAACTGAAGACTTGAGCCAGTCAGTAAGTTTCTGCTCTGTGTTAAAGCACTAGTGTGAAATACTCCAAGCCCAGTGTAACTGACGGCTCTCGGTTGTTGTTGGTGTGTGAAGTGGCGTTGGGTCGGTGCAAAGACCTGCTGAAGAAAGACACCACTTTGACCTGCGCCCCTGAAGGCTACCACAGTGTACATGGAGTCCACCGCACACCCAACAGACTCTCTGAATTTGAGGTGCTAGTCATTTTCTCTCTACTCAATTCTTCTGCTCATGTTTTTGGGATCTAATGTGATTCTTGTGTTTGTGTGTGCTGGTTTCTATTTGACAGGATGATGAGTTTGTTGTCTATAACACAGAGCAGATCAGACTGAAGTATGTGGTTCAGTACACTCTGGAGGGAGACGAGTTAAAAGAGTTCCAGCCTCATATCAACACAGTTGTGGAGCTCACACAGCTCGCTGACACGTCTGACGTCTGTGAGTAACGTCCAGTGAACAGGACATGTAGAAAGAGCTTTTATGTGGAGGAATCTGTTTGAGTTTAACTCCCACTAAACAACCCCTCATAATAATGGTGTACATGGTGACATGGTGAAGGGAAAAATCATTCCTCAGGGACATCTGATGCTCTGTAAAGCTGAATGCTCTGATTTGGATTTGTGAAATTGATCATTGGTTTTGTTTGATGTGTTTCTTTAGTGTCCAGTGATGACAGTGAGGGTTTGGAGTCCACTAAAAACCCTCTGGAGGAGATGACTGCAGGTTTGCTGGACAGCAATGGTCAGAAAATTCCTCTTCAGGCCGTCAATGTGAGGTGCAAGCTGATGGACCTGCTGTGTCAGGTGTGATACTACAGTTGGCGCTACTGCTGGACTGCGAGTGTGTGTGTGTGTGTGTGTGTGTGTGTGTGTGTGTGTGTGTGTCTCCTACAACTCAGGTACCTCATTGTTTGCATCACACTACAGAACAGATCACTGAAACACTGCCACACATCTTGAATGGCTGCCATGCCTATAAAGGAATGTACATCGCACGCCACGACAGAATAGTGGATCTTATAGTGAAGGACATATCAAGCCATTTCTCATCTGCTGTAAAAATGTACAAACATTCTTGTGTAAAATCATCTATGTTTCAGAATTGTAATAGCTCTGAAACCTTTTCTCATGTGCTTGCAAATACACCAGATATTGTTGTGATTAATGAGGAGATCAGCGAGGTGTTCGTTGTGGAGGTTGCATGTACCTTTGACTCTAGTATGGAAGAAGCCTTTATGACTAAGATGATTAAATATCAACCATTTCTAAACATCATCTCAGAACTAGGTTATCAGAGCCGACTTCTTGTGCTCATATTTGGCAGCTTAGGACACACACACAGGCTGGTTGTAAGGGGGCTTCAACAACTAGGGATGCCCAAAGAGAGGGCTAAACGGCTAGCAAAGTACTGCGCTCTGTCTGCTATTATAGGCAGCCGTCATATTTGGCGGAGATGGTGCTACTTGTACCCATAACAACTGAGTGACGCTAAATATAGTGAAGATCTGCTGTATGCCGCTTGTCCATGATTATGTGCATGCATTTGACTGCATCTATAGTAGTTGTGTCCCTGTAAATCATTTATTTTAAGTGGACTCAAATAAATAGTTAAAATGTGTGTGTGTGTGTGTGTGTGTGTGTGTGTGTGTGTTTTTCAATCAAAGCATCACTGTTTTCTCTCACTGCCAAGGTCAATCGTGTGTTCAACAAAGTTATGAAATATAAAAAGTCAGAATAAAGGATAAATAGAATAAGTGAAATATCAGAAAATATAATGATTAAAAATGTGAACATTTTAATTAGTGATGAAGAGGCTGACAGCAAATGTGGGGTGGTCAAAAATGTGTTGTTAAATTTTGTGGCAGTTGAAAACAAAACAGCAATGGACACAGTTAGGGTGTGCAATAGGAACAAGACATGACATGGTGATCAAGAACTTAAAACAAAATAAAAGAACAAAATAAAAGAAAGAAAGAACCATAGCAAAATTATAATGACAATTTCAAACTGTAAGCAAAACCAAAACTTTTTCTGCTCTGTCATCAGGTCATCATTTTTCAGACCTACACAAACAAGAGTGCTGTTCCCATTGAAGCAAAGTACGTCTTTCCACTGGAGGAGACGGCAGCAGTGTGTGGATTTGAAGCCTTTATCAATGGAAAACACGTCGTTGGAAAGGTGCAAAGTCATTCAGAATCTGTCAAATGCAGCTTTTGCTCTTCATAACTGCTTTCTCATCAGTTTTCAATGTCTTTCTTTGTCCTGTAGGTAAAGGAAAAAGAGCAGGCTCGTAAGGAGTATAAGCAAGCCATAGAGAAGGGCCATGGAGCCTACCTGATGGACCAGGATGCACCTGTGAGTTACTTACTACTGTTTCTTTCTCTGATGCATGAGTGATAATAACAGAAGACTTCTTTAAGGTCATGTGTTTATGTGAGGCAGGATGTATTCACTATCAGCGTGGGGAACCTTCCTCCCGGAGCCACAGTTTTGATCAAGGTGACGTTCATCACTGAGCTGGTGGTGAGATCAGGCTCTATAGTCTTCTCACTGGCTGGCAGCGTGGCACCATGGCAACAGAGCGCCGCCCTTAATATGACAACTCAGGTACAACATGATTGGTCTTTAGTCACTGTATTGAAAATACTGAATGGGTTGCTGTTAGTTACAGTGTTTTGACTGAGAGTTTTGTTGTATTTCAGACAACTGTTGAAAAGATTGGTGTGACGGAGCTTCAGTCAGAGGGGTGAGAGTCTCAAACACTGGGGAATTCACAGGGATATTCACTAAAGATTCACTAAAAATCTAAATGCATCTGCTGATTAGTTACAATATTAAAGACAATTATTTAATTTAGCAAACCAAGTTGTCTTTATAATATCACACTCTCTTTCATTCGTTCCCTCTTTCCTCAGGGAGTTTTCTCTGTCTATGTCCATCGAAATGCCTTACGAGATCATCAACTTGAGTTCTTCACACCGCATCAAAACCAAGGTTATTTTACTTATTTTTGTGGATCGTCTTACTAAATACTTGTTGTGTTCTCCAAGGAAATAAAACATATTTGGTTATGAACAGTATTATTATCAGTATCAGTGTTTTTCCCGTTCAGATGACCGACTGTAAGGCAGTGGTCAGCACGTTACCGGGACAGACTCTTGGATCTGAAGGGTTACAGGTGTCCTTCAGTCTTTCTAATATCCACATGCCCAGGATGTGGGTCGAGAACCATCCGGATAAATATAGTCAGGTAATGAAATAATCAGTCACATCTGATTCAAATTGCAGACAAAAAGGCCTTTCACATGGCCTGATCTAAAATACACACAGAAAGGTCGTTCTCTGACACTCTCTGAGTCTGATCCCTGCAGGCCTGCATGCTGGTGTTTTATCCAGACTTTAAGTCAAGCGGGGTTTCCAGCTCTGGAGATCCGTCCAGTGTGAGCGATGTGGTGATTCTACTGGACTCCTCCAAGTCCATGCGGGGAGACGCCATGCTGAACGCCCGCAGGATTGCCCTTCAAGTCCTCAAATCTCTGGACCGCTCACTGAAGATCAACATCATCTCTTTCAGCACTGGTTAGTGCTCACTGAAACATTCTGCTGTTGTTCTAGTGATCATCTTGTAATATAGAAACTTTTATTTCCCTATTATTCTTGTAATTCACAGTGAAGTATTATGGGTGAAGAATATTATATGCTGGTCCTTCATTCACATAGTGTTAATCTTAAAATGTGTGTGTTTTTAAGATTACAAGGAAGCTTTTCCTGCTCCAGTGCCTTTAGATGAAGCCTCTGAACCAGCCAGAAAATTTATTATGGTGAGTAATGTTAAAAAATGGTTAAAGATGAGTGTTTCTTCTGTGCTTTGAAAGAGGGCATATTGAGATATTCTTCTGTGTTTTTGACTTCTTCCATCAGGAGACATTATGCATCATCTTCCCTTCATTTCAGCTTTTCAGTTGTTGCTCATGGACACTCAGTTCCAATTAGAGCGAGATGTTTTGCCACCATAATGTTGTAGTTACAGAATCACCCAGCAGGGTGTAACTGTACCACACTAACCAGTTAGACCTTGAGCCCTTGGTTAATCACTAAAGTTGTCATTGCATGTGTGGTCTCTTCAGTCCTGTAGTGGCGCTGGTGGCGGCACTGAGCTGTGGCGGCCTCTCCAGAGCCTGAGCCTGCTGTCTCCCTGCCGGGGCGTGAGGAACATCCTGCTACTCTCTGATGGACATGTTCAGAACCAGCCTCTGACCCTACAGCTGGTCCGAGAAAACTCCTGCCACACGCGCCTCTTCACCTGTGGACTCAGGTCTGCCTTTGAAGAGTTCAACACAAATCTCTTTAACACTTCAATTCATTCCTGAACCTACAGTTTGTGTTTGTGTTTGTCTAGCTTGACAGCTAATCGTCATATGCTCAGAGCTTTGGCTCAAGCAGGTGGAGGAACATGTGAATTTTTTGACACAAAGATGAAACACACTTGGGCAGAGAAGGTGAATCACGCTGTTAATTGTATTGTTGTTTTTATTAAGAAAAAGGGAACATTATCTGTTCAACATGGGCCGCTCTGAGGCTTGAGTTTACTAGATATGCTGGTAATTTCAGGTGCGCGCTCAGGTTCAGCGTATGGAGTCTCCAGGCTGCAGATCAGTGGCAGTGAAGTGGCAGCAGTTTAATCCCACAGCGCCTCCTCCTGTTCAAGCCCCCTCACAGCTTCACGGCCTCTTCAGTGACTGTCACACTCTCATATACGGCTTTGTGCCGCACTGCACTCAGGTAGACCTGCGCTATTTACCAGCTGATCCGATTGTGTTGCAGATGGTTGTTACTTATTGTAGTTAGGACTGAGTAATATATTGTAATATTCACAATATATCCGCAAAGATTTTGCTAAAACTGTAAAATTAAGAAACATTATGGATCTAGCTATAATTTTAGTATTTTTTACTATTAGAGTTAGAGTTTGATTTATTTCCATGAATTATTTCCAACTGTTTCATAAAATACATTCAAAGCTCTGAATCAACTGTTTGTTTGCATTATCATGTTCATGAAGATTTTGTATGGCATTTTTTATATTAAAATATTTTAAAATATACAGTATGTAGGTAAATATTGACACTTATTCAGAGTATAGTAATATTGTTGCATACTATAAATGAAAGTAATTAAATATTGTTCTTCATATAGTTATGTTAATTGCTGCTGTAAATTTCATTTGAATGGTGTAATATTTACTCTTTTAGGCCACACTGTTTGGAGATTTGAGTGGGAATGAGATCAAAACAATGGTTTCCACCACAGAACTACAAAAGACGAAAGGAACTGTGAGTGAACATCTTAAATACTAAATATAATCTGAAACATCATCAATTTTTTATCAGGCATTTGAGTGTGTGTGTGTGTAGTTCCTTCACAAGTTAACAGCAAGAGCGATCATCAGAGACTATGAAGATGGCATTCTAGGCAACAGTGAAGCAGAACATGAGGTGCAATATTTTGCTGATTGTTGCTGTTTTTAATAGAACTGGCAAATTTGCTAACAGAAGAACTTGACTTGTTGTCTTGTATCTCTCTATCAGGGGAAGAAAGCAGAGCTGAAGTCCTACATCATTGAGCTCAGTAAAGAGTTCTCCATCTTGTCCCAGTTCACAAGTTTTGTCGCCATCGAAGAGAGGGTATGATTACTGATAATGTAGGGGTTATGTGTTCAGATCATTCATTCTAAACATATAGTAACAATATATGGCTTTTTTAAATTATATAATATTAAAAATTCATTAAAAAACTTAAATCTAATTTATCTGTAACAACAGCAATAATCTTTCGTTGTTCTTTAGTGCAAAGAATTGTGTCTTTTGTTCAAGTTTCAGTTTCAAGATCAAGAGAAACAAACAAAAAAGTCAAAAACTATGTTGCTCTTTCTTTCTATCTTAAATTTGTTTGGTCACCCTTTTTACTCTGTAATGGTTTGCTCTGTTTTACTATTGAACCGCCTTTACGAATAGTGTATTACCACCTATTCGTAAATTTGAATTTCGTAAAACACCTATTCGTAAAGACTGTTCAATAGTAAAACAGAGCAAACCATTACAGAGTAAAAGGGTGACCAAACAAATGTAAAATAACATATAGTACCTAAGTAACATCTTCTACCTTTTCTTAATTCATAGACAATTTTAAATAATACAATTTTCTCAAGCATTTATGCCTTTAATGTCTAATCGTGTAGCTATTCAAATTATTAGTTTCTTGCATGTGTTTTTAGGCAGCTTTTCCTTATACTTGCCTATTATAATCATTAGTTAAAAATGTTGTAATAAAAATAAAAGGTGACCATCTGTGCACATTGTGAATCGCATTTTCAGACTTGGGACACTAAATGGCCCAGCGGCAAAATTTATTGCAGATGCTATATAATGAAAATATACCAAATATTGATAATGAAAATATACCAAAAATTCTCTGATATAAGTAAATAACAATTTTTGCTAAAGTGTGATATATGAAAGTTAAACTAAAATGACTTTTGTGACCTCATTTGCTCTTTGTAGGACCAGAATGAGCCTGACGCTGGATTGACAGATATTCCTAAACTCATATCAGAAGAGGATGTGGATATTTTGCCATATATGGGCTGGACTGAAGAGAAGCTCATGGTTGAGCACATTATTTGTGCTGATGATGTTAGGGTAACAACAAAATGGTCAATTACAGCTGTTGTCACTTAATGTAGTATCTAAGCTGGCATCATTCAGTATTCAGATCTTCAGTATTCACACCAATCATTTTTATTTATTTATTTATTTATTTTTAGATGGATTCAGAGGAATGGCGCAGTAGCGGCTCCACATCTCTTATTCTGCACAGTTCAGCTCGTAAATTTGCATTTGATGATGATGAAAATGATTCAGAGGATGACTATGAGGATCCTATTGAGGATTTTATAATGGAAGCATCTGCAGCTCTCCCTCGTCTTTGCTCCAGTAGCAGCTGGCGTCCTTCACGTTTTGAAGGTAGCATTCACGGTTTCAGATTAGATTCAGAAAGATTATGTAGCCGTTCTTCTAGTTCTGATGTAAGTTATTCAAAGCCTCAACCCCCCCCTCCCCCTGCCGCTAAGATTAGTGCCTTAATGGATGCTCCCAGTCCTGTTGGCCATGTTCTTCTTGAGTCAGTGGAACCTACTGGTGGTGTCTCCATGAGTGACAGACTTCCTCCTCCCACTGCAGCCTCAATGCCTCTTAACCTTCAAGTTCCCTGTTACTATGATTCAGTAGAATCTCTCTCCTCAAATTATAACCTTGCATCACAGACAGACGTGAGTCCTATAGATGCCTCAATGGATGCTCCCCTTCCTCATCACATTCGTCATGTCCTTCTTAAAAGGTCAATGGAACCTCGCTCCAACGCTCACTGGATTTCTCCTCGTCCTTCTGGTGGTGCCCGGAGTGACAGGCTTCCCCCTCCAACTCCCCCTCCCCCCGCCTCCAAGGGTGCCTCCTCAGTGCCTCCTCCCCTTCATATTTCTGCATCAGCGGACTCTCTCCTCTTTGAAACTTATGCCCATGGCCTTCGCCTAGCGCTTGGGCTTGAAGGCTCAACTCCTCCTCTCTTTGCAGGTCCTCCTCCAAATCCTAGTCTTGCTTCTAATCTGTTCTTGTCTTCCATCCCCACTCCTCCTGCTCCTCTTTTTGGCAGGCCGAGCGCATCTTTTTCAACGATGGAATTCCCTGCCCTTCGCTGTCTCTCAGAGATCCAGCGTGACGCCTCAACTCCTCCTCTCTTTGCAGGTCCTCCTCCAAATCCTAGTCTTGCTTCTAATCTGTTCTTGTCTTCCAGCCCCACTCCTCCTGCTCCTCTTTTTGGCAGGCCGAGCGCATCTTTTTCAACGATGGAATTCCCTGCCCTTCGCTGTCTCTCAGAGATCCAGCGTGACGCCTCAACTCCTCCTCTCTTTGACGGTCCTCCTTTTCCTCCTCGTCTTGCATCTAAGCAGGACTTGTCTCCCACTCCTAGTTTTGCTCCTGCTTTTTTTCGCAGGGTGGATGCATCTTTTTGTGGCAAGGCGGCTGGCCCCGCTGTCTTTGGTTATCCCACAGTGTCTACGCCGCCCTCTCTCCCTGCATCTAGTGGCTTTGGTTGTTTCCTTCAAAGTACGAATGAGCCTTTGGGCTTTCTTGGTTCCTCATCCTCTGGACTTTATGAAGCATCTCATCAAAAACAAACACAACTAATGCAACCAAAAGCGCAACAACTAGAACGGCAAAAACTACTACGGCCACAAGACACTCTGACATCTGCACAATGTAAGTTGGAAGCAACAAAAAGGGCTGCTCCTCGTTTTCAACTAAGGACTCAACATTTCACAAAACCTCATGACATCTTGAATCTGTCGGTCACGGCAGATAAAACAAGCAAGCCTGACACCGTTGCCTGGAAGGAGCTGTTTGAGCTTCAACATGAGGTTTTTACACATGATTTAATGCACTAGATTATATACAGTATGTAAATGTGTAAGTCAAGGGAATATGAACTTATGTATTGTGTTTGGATATAGGATGGATACTGGGAGTGCACTGAGAGACTGAGCAGCTTCCTCAACCTGGACGTAGACTTTTTTGCCAATGTCTTCCTTCAGGAGAAAGGCATCCGTTCCTTTGGTATAAGACTTTTGAAATCAAATCTTCTTCATTTTTTAGACACAGTTTGCCTGTCAGAATCAGTTAATCAGTCACATGTTTTGTCTGTCAGGTGTGAAGGCTCATGCTGAAATTCTGAGACTGGTGGCGACTCTGCTGGTGCTGCAGCTGATCCGGGTGAAGAAGCTGGCAGTGGGACAGTTGCTGGAGTCTCTCCTCCGGCTGAAAGAGTCTCAGGAGCCCAGGTACGAGCACACGTCCTCACTCATAGTGATTCACTCTTGTGTATTTGATCCATAACTTTGTGCTCTTCTCCATTCAGACCAATGCACTGGGAGGCAGTGAAGAGGGCCGTGGACTGGGCCTGTCGGACAGACAGACAGTATCCGTGTGTGTGCAGCAGGCTGGAGATCGGCCGGGATTGGGAATCATCTACACGTCAGCTGCTGGGCTGTGATTCTCCACACCCATATTCCCCTCTCAAACCTGTTCTGGAGAGACGTGCGTGTGTATCAGTCATGTAGGAACTGGACACACACTTCCCCCTTCATTTACAGTTGCTGCTTTACTTGCTGCTTGCTTGTTGCAAAAAAATCTTTCTAGCCTTTAAGTGGCCTTAACAATATATTTAGACTGTTTTGAACTATAAGATTAACTCAAAATATTGATGTAAAATGTCTGAATTTCATTGTATTCTAAAGTATCAAGGTTTTGTAAGCCTTTTTTTTTTTTTTTTTCAGGTACTTTTAATCAAGTGTAGTAGTGTTTGATTTTTAGTGGATGTATTAAGTCATTTCTCCTCAAGTTCACTGATGTCCTAGCAGAGCAACCACTAATGTAGGTCATCACATTATCTATGATTATTAAGCAGTATGTTGATTTATCATTTAAAATGAAACAATTCTATTTGTCAAATGTTTTGTTGATACATGTGCTTGTGCTGTCTTTCTTTTAAGTAAATTTAAATAAATATATTGTTTGTTACCGTACACGTTGGTGCCTCAAGGACCTGCTCACACAGTCACAGAAAAGCTGTTGCCTCCTGTTCTGTGTAATAATAATCCATCCTACTAATGGACTTTCTCTGGATTAACTTATTTTTTTTACACAAGTTAAAACGGCATAAAATCATGGGATGATTATTAGAAGAATAATATATTTATTCCTTGGGAATTACTCGTCAAGCCACTTATAATTAGCCCTCTGCATTTATTAAAAAATGTAGGTAATTTCAAATATATGTCAAATAATTGAGCAAAAAAAATCTTATTGGGTTGTAATTTTTCTGTTTAGCTCTGCCTATTTTTATCCGTCAGTAAAATAATGTCTCATTCAGTGAAAAAGGCTGTCAAAGTAACTGCTGTGGCAAGAACTCAATCAAATGCTGTTCTAGGGATTCTTGACTTTTTATTCTACTCTTACAATGTTAAAAAAAATAGACTTTGTCTTGTCACCCGATTTAATGAATAATATTCTATAAATTAATCTGTACTTTAATAGAAATCCCTCCTCAAATGGTATTTTTGACGACATTGTGCCTTTTTATTTTAATTAGGTTTATTTATCAGTTCTAAGGCAGGAAAACACAAGTGATGAAAAAGAGCTACGAGGTGCCTGGCAACACTTGAATATATGAATGTTTACTTAAACATATTACACCGATACACCTGCAGTCACTCTCACACGCGTGCGCGCGCACACACTCCGCTTAGCTACACGCTGTAGCCTTTTACTGTCTGCTGTAGCCTACACGGCGCTGAGTTTCGACCACTGGATGGAGCCATGGAGCACGTCTAATTTATTTGTAGGGGGGTGACATACTGTACGAGTCAGGAAGTAATATAACGAACTTCACATGCAGATTGTTTACGTCTTCTTCAATTGTATTTTCTTAAAATAGGGTATAAACTTCTCCACGGTAAGATATGCTCTTCCGTCTTCTAATGACGTGACATTGTTTCTCATACTGCGACACGATACGATTTGGATTTTTGCCTGAATGTTTAATTACTTCAAGAGAACCATCTATTCACTTGTTTTATATCTGATTGATTGATATATTTTCTTTGTTTATCTTCTGTCGTTTTTCTTGGCATGTTCAGTGGCATCATGACAGTGTTTGAAAACTGTACTGTAGTGTTAGATGTGAAGAATGTCCCTTATAAAGAGAAGAAGAATCTGAAATCAGCTCTTCTGGAAAATGGAGGAAACATATCTTATGTCATCAACAAAGAGGTTCTGCTCATTTTTATACTCTTTCTAACTAAACCATATTTTTTCTGTCGTCAAAACTGTTAGGCTACTGCGAATTTGTTTACACAAATGTAGATTTAGAGTTTGTTTTTTTACACAATTTACAGTTTGATTTGTTCATCCCTCTTGTACTGTTAACGTTGAAGTTAAAAACGACATTGAAAATCTAGATTGGTGCCGTGTGGTGGAAATAAATAGAGAAATATGGTTTAACCACTTGATTCCTGTATAGCCCTATATGGGCCATTCTACAGAATTGGTTCAAGTCAGATTTGGAAACGGCTTGAAAAAAAGGTGTCTTTTTCCACAAATTTTGTATGTATGCAAATTGTATAATATCCAAGGGTACACATTTCATATTGTATTTTCAGAAAGTTTTGGAATATTTTTCCTCTCCCTAAATTTGTTACTACCGAAACACAATAATAAATCATTTAATAAGAAGTTGTATATTGGCCTATTAATATTTTGTACCTTGTAAATATATTTTTTGCTATTTAAAAAAAAAAAGTTTTCACAGGTAAATCAATAACAATTACTATTTTAACAATATTTCAAGTGTAATTTATAAGATTTGTTGTATTTTGAACCCAATCTTTCTTTGTAAAAGGCATTAAGTTAATCATACTGATTTCAAAGTTAAGGAATCATTAGTTTGAATATACATTGAACCAAACACTATAATAACATCTTAGTTGATAATTCAGTATACTTTATTTTAGACAAAACATCCATGTTTCGGTCGTGAGTGACGGCACATTTTCGGTAGTGGCAGTAATGTTTTGGTAGCGACCACATCACATTACAGAAATTTAACTTGCATACTAAAACACTACTAAAACATACTAAGATACTAATGATTTGCATAACTGTACAAATTTTGTTTATTTCCCCCAAATAATTTTTTATTTTTTTATTTGACAAGGACAATGCAAACAAACATAGTGTCAAAACCAAGCATGTCACTGAAGTGTTGCATATAAAGTTTATAGCTATTGCTAATTTTCAACTCCTGTCCCTGGAAGGGCTTTTATACATAATACAATTTACATGATTAACTACTTCAATAAAAAAATAAAAATAATAATAATAATATAAACATACATACATATCATATACAACTTTTATAATAATTAAAAATGAGTACACTTTTGGTTTATTTTTAACCAGTTTTTAAGCCTGGAAGTGAACATCTTAAAGTCAGGCACAGTCTTGATTTCAAAAGGTAATGAGTTCCAGAGTTTAGAACTCTTCACAGAGAAGGCCGTCTGTCCAAAGCTGGTCCTGCAGTATGTTATTTTACAGTCATGATTTGTGGAGCTCCTAGTGACTCGGATGTTGTCCTGTCTCTCAATAAATGTACTTAGTGGCTCAGGTGCTAAATGATTAATGCACTTATAAATTAGTTTAAGAAAGGAAAAGCTACTAAAGCTATCAAAATTCATTAAATTATATTTCTTAAAGATGCTGCAATGATGATAACGTAATGTTTTTTTTTATCCAAAAGTTGTATTGCTCGATTATATAAAGAACCTATGCGTTTGATTGCAGTGGGAGCGGCTTGTGCCCATGTTGTCATGCAATATGATATATGAGAAAATTTCATAGCATGCATGTACAGCAGGGCTGCCTGACTTGGTATGTAGCTTCTAATTAGTTTAAAACAATTGAGATTACTTTGTAATGTTTTTAGGATTTTCTTTATATGTTTTTCAAATTTAAGTTGAGGATCTAAAACTAATCCTAAATATTTAAATTCTGTAACTGGATGAATTTCTTTATTTTGTAACTTAAAGCTGCTGTCCGTAACTTTTTTAAGTTGAAAATAATCCAAAATAATTATATAAAAAAAAACATATTTTGCCAGTGGTCAAAACTATCTGCTTGCCATAGCTAGATTCAAAACGGTTAGCTTGTAATAATGATTTTAATTCCAGTGGTACTGGTGGGTTTCCGCGGGAAATTCGAGCATGTCTTTGCGTCATTACGTTACACCCGTACACATAAAGAAGGAGTTTCGGCTAGCCGGCTATACTGCGCGTGACGAGATGTTTAGATGTATAGACTTTTCTCGCAGCACTTTACATAATTAAACTTATGGCATCCAGAAAGATCCAAACAACAATCATCAGTGTCAACTGGAGATTCAGCAGTTATAAAACCCAAAAGACTTCGTACTTCGGATTTAAGGTGGCTAGAGAAAGAGAAAGAAACCGTCTCATGCGAACACAAGGATTTAAACATCGGCGGGGCTTTTGAAAAGTGCGTGAACTCCGTGTTTTGAAGGGGTTCAAAACGGAAGAAGAGACGGCTTTTTTCTGCTGAACAAGTAAGACATTTCAATAGTTCAATCGTGTAACAGTACGTTTTCTTAATTCACACAGTTATGGAGTTTCCTTTGTTGTGCCTTAATCGTTTTGCTATTATGGAGAATATGAATTCTGAACTACACAGCAGGTAACCATAAAACACATTAAATTTAACATTAGTCACGCGATGCTGATGTTGTTAACATGAACAATTTGAGAACAAAGTAGGCTATAATTTGCACGGTTGCTGTAAATCGCGTTGATTAAATCTAATGAAGCTTATCATGTCGAATGCTTTCCCCCCTTAGTTGGTCAGAACAAAAATGGATGTTACTTACTTGTTCAGAAGACATTTTCTTATGAAAATTCTTATGTTGGTCAAATTTTCAAAAAGTGAATCTGTGATTCTGTATGACAGTATCCACACAGCGCGGTGACTGACAGCAGCACTCGCCTCAAAGCACTGTGTTCATCCGCGCTGTTTCATGCCGATTTACAACCCACGTAAAGATGATAATTCCGCGAATCACTGCAGTTACAGATTTCGAACAGAGAGATGGCGACAAAGAGGAAAAGCTACGGACTGCAGCTTTAATATTAAATCTTCCTTTTATATCTATTTTTTTAATGGAAAAAAACATGGAAACTGTTTTTGAGAAATTTAAAACTAACTGATTTTGAATGAGCCACTGTTGAATGTCAGACATACTAGTGGACAGTACAGCTGCAGCCTGCTCAGGTGACTTGGCGGGTACATAAAGAACTGCATCATCCGCATAAAGCTGACAACTGGCACCTGAGCAGTGCAGAGGTAAGTCATTTATAAACAGCAAAGGGCCAAGTATAGAGCCCTGTGGAATGCCCATTTTTATGTTTGAAAGTGCAGATACCTTTTGATCAACTTTAACACACTGCACTCTAGAGTGGAGATAAGATGTAAACCACAACACTGCCTCATTTGAAAAATTTAAATTTAAATTTTGGATAAAAGCAAACTATGATTGACCATATCGAATGCTTTTGTAAGGTCGATAAATATGGCTCCTACCACATTACCTTTGTCTAGGGACTTTTTTACATTTTCAATTAAACAGCAGTTTGCTATTTCTGTCGAGTAACCTGGTCTAAACCCAAACTGGTGACAATGGAGGAGCTGTCTGGCTT